CAATATGGTCATCTCAGTCATACTGGTTGTGAGTACACAACCTCCACCCACCTGCAAGAGACCACCATTAGAAGAAGACTTCCTGTTAAAAGGGAGATCTTCCTCCCCACCATCAGAAACACCCTTCCTCACAGAGGGTCACCTGACCGTTTAGGTTGTCTTATGTTGTAGGGTGCTTTGCTTTCAATATAAAACATCTTCAGTGACTGTATAATTTAAAGCACTTTGAATTGAAGATAATTCAATGAATTATTCATCAAGTTTATTGGTAATAAGCATTTAACCATCAGCCACATCTATCCCAGCTCCAACTTTGGTGGTTTTTAACCTGCAGTTCCTTAAACTAAAGATTGCTAGGATGAGGTTTTTGTTAAACAGCAGATGTTTAAGCCACGTGTTGGAATTATGGGCCTTTATTTTAATACTTCTTATTGCGCCTGCCATAAATAGCGCTTATTTATTGTGGACAAAATTTCTGGCTGATGCAGAAAGAGCAAATATAAGAAAAGTAAGAGACTTCGTGATATCTGTGGAGGGAAAATACAACGTTTCTAAAAACCTTTGTCAAACAGGTTTAATACTGAATGAGCTGCAAGAACTAAATATGGAAATTTTGGTGGCATCACTCGCCTACATATTTGTGGACGATAAAGAGGCACTGACGTGTTTGCCATTGAAACCAAGCCTTCAGCCTATATAGATAAGCTGCATATTTGCTTTTGAAATTCATGTTTGTCAGCTCTCCTGTGTCTTATCTTTACAATATGTTGTACTTAGCACAGGTGAAGGTAAACAACGACAAAACCATCAAGCACTCGTGTTTAAAAGTCAACACTTTTCAGCTTGTAGTGAAAAAGGTTTTTTTCCTTTCTGTCCTCGGATATCTTATCATTTAAAAAGGATCTAATTTAACTGGTGCAAGTTTAAGTGGTTGCTTGTTGGTGCTAACTGAAATATTATTGTGTTTCATGGTACCGCGACCATAAAAACCTGATTCGAGGATGTCTTCCTCGGACACGTCTGCCAAAATTTTGTTGCAAAAGGTCTTTTCAGATGCTAAGAAAGACCAACATCTGAGAGTCTAAAGCGAGCCCTGGATTGGGAGCTGTTTCATGCCTACTCCTGTGTTTGTAATCCCTCCCTGTACGCTCACTAGGTTTGACCTGGAGTACAGTTATCGCTTGCATTTCTGACAGCCTTGCACTGCAATTTTATTCCCAATAAAATTCACCATTTCCCTCTGCAGCCATTCAATTTTATCAGTTCCTGATCAGTTTTGTTCTCTTGCAACAGATTCAGAAATGTTTTTAATGGTTTAAGTCTGTCGTGGTTTTATACTGTATTTCTACTTGCTCCAATGAAGTCAGTCCACTTTGTTTCCCACAGATTTAAAACTGATTTCTGCTTGCAGTGGTAGAAGAAAGGGGGTGTAAGTGTTCACAGTTATATGACGTGTCTGCCATTTCTCCTTTGCAAATATTTATTTGTGACACAAAGAGCTGCCTCTTATAAACTGGATGAATTTCGGCGCCACCATCTTAGACAGCAGCAGGAACAGAGGAGCTCGCTGCGCTCTGTAGCCGGAGTGAACCAAGTTCTCCACCTCTGATAGCTTCTCGTAGCCCTCAGGCTCACAGCTGATCTCCAGGAGAAGGACGACCATTTCCAGCTTCAGTAAAGATAGCGGAGTTGGAGTATGCTCCACCACTGTTTGAGATATAGTAGGGGCAGTGCATTCATTAGATTCTCGCGTTGCTCGGACTATTCTGAAGCCAAAACCTACTGAGTCTTTCTGAAGTGTGATGATTATTCGTTTCACTTTTGTAACTGAATATCCGCTATATATGACTTCTATAAATAAGCTGAAGATAAAGCTGTTCATTTTGAAACTGTCACCTGAAGGTGATTCATTATACTTATTGCTATATCCATATTTTTATTGTTGGATTCTGCTAGAGTTGTTTTGCATGACTCCATAGCAGTCTTACATACACTTGGGTAATTTTTAACATGGGTATCAAGCATCGTAACAGTATGTATATGACAGAGAACAAGCAAAAGCAGAACAAGTGCATTTAACCTTTTGAGAAGATCCAGACTTTGTATGTAAATGACTTTGACAGTTACATTTTTAGTGGAAAATCTGCAACCTTGAGTGATTTCTTTATGCTATGTTCAGGATAAACTTTCCAAAACCTCCCGTTACACATCCTAACTATCTCCTACTTGCAGTCAACATTGGAATAGAGCAGCTGCGAGAGAATTCAACATTAATGAATCAATGTTACGGAAGTGGAGGAAGCGCAGTTTTTGGCTTGTCCCATATTTCAAAAGTGCTTCATCTCTTTGCTGTGACTGTCGCCCGCCATAATTTGCAGATGATAATGGTTTTAGCCGCTGCCATGCTTTTGACCAAAACAGGCACAGCTTGATGACATCATCAACATGCGCTATCGCGATAGAGCGATATAGTCAAAATCTCTATCGTTGGCCAAATTTATATCGTTTCTATCG